ACTCCTTAAGTCGGAAGGCGCCTGAAGCAGATTGGGACTCGGGGCTCGGGCATCCAAAAGTACTACCTGCTGTCAACGACCGGCGCGTACCGTTCTGCGTCCGCCAGCTCCTCTCTGTGCGAGGAGCCGGCCAGAGGAAGCACGACGGCACTCGGAGGTGGCCAGGATCCGGAGCCGGATGGCACTGGGGAGCATCGGGCCTCGAGGGGCGATGCAGGCAGGTCCGCTCAAAGCCGATCCCCGCGCCTCCGGGGGACCATATCTGGTGTAGTTCTTCGGCCTGGCTCGTTCCAAATACGCGGTCCCCCCAGGGGGCCTGAGCTGGATGGCACTGGAGAACCTCGCTCATCGAGGGGCGATACAGGCAGATCCGCTCAAAGTCGACCCTCGCGCCTCCGGGGGAGCATCTGGTGTACAGTCAAAACGTTATTAAGGACGGGTGGTAAGGACGCAAGACCCTTGGAGGCCGAAGTTGGATTTTTGGGGCGGGGGGCGGCCAGTGAAAACGGCGAAGGACGGGCCGCAGGGGCAAGGACTCAAGGGTACCCTAGATGAAGGCACGCGTCCATACTAGGCACGAGGGGCGCTACAGGCAGATCCGCTCAAAGTCGACCCTCGCGCCTCCGGGGGACCATCTGGTGCAGTTCTTCGACCTGGCTCGTTTCAAATACACGGCCCCCCCAGGGGGCCTGAGCTGGATGGCACTGGAGAACCTCGCTCATCGAGGAGCGATACAGGCAGATCCGCTCAAAGTCGACCCTCGCGCCTCCGGGGGACAATCTGGTGTACAGTCAAAAACCCAAATAAGGACGCGCGGTAAGGACGCAAGACCCTTGGAAGCCGAAGTTGGGATTTTTGGGGCGGCGGACGACGAAAACCTCAAGGACGCAAGAGCAAGGAAGAGCAAGGACGCAAGGGTACCCTGAGCAAAGTCGCGCGTCCTTATTAGGGTTTTTGACTGTAGCTCTTCGACCTGGCTCGTTTCTCACGGTTCCCCAGGGCCCGGAAGAGCCCCCTCGGGGGGCCGAGGAAGCACAGGAAAAAAAAACACGAGCCCCGAATCTCGAACCTCGCCCCCCGCCCCCCCCCCTTCCTGCTCGCGGGAACCTCTCGCCATCGCTCGGACGTCCGTTCCCCGTGCACTTCCGACGTCGCGCGTGTATTCATCGCAGGATGGTCCAGGATGTTCCTCGGTCGTCCTCGCCCCCAGAAAATGCACACGTCCGAGCGATGCCAAGACCTGTGCGGGGCCACCTCGGACCCCTGGTCGGCTCCAAGGCGGCGCGCTCGAGGGGGCGGAGGGGGAGGGGGAGCGGCACTCTGAGCGGGGGGGCAGGGAGCCACCCCTTGCCCCCTCGGGGGGCCAGTGCAACCACCCTGCCCCACACCCTCCCCGCCCCCCTGTTGTGTTTTCTTTTCCGCTTCAACCGCTGAGGATGAATGTTACCACAGACCAGAGCGGCGATCTGGACTGAGGGCGCTACTCCCATCCGCGTGAGTTCCGCCCCCGTTGTGGTTGCGCGCAGCCGAGGGGGGTGAGGGAGCGGGAGCGGGGGTGGGGGGACTGACTGGGCTTCGAGGGGCAGTGCGCCATCCTTGCCCTCTCGAGCAGATCTGATCTGCTGATCAAGTTTGGGGATCTTGCGCAACCGAGAGGGAACGAAGGAGGGTGAGCGAGGGGGACATGAGCGGTCAGCATCGGCTCGGGAAATCGGGTCGGATCGCATCATGCATCGAGTCAGGCCGCATCAGCGCCGAGCCGGAATGGAATCGGATCGACCGCGCAAGGATGCACATCAGTGTCACGCAAGCATCGGACTGCATCGGATCGTCGGAATGCCAGAGTCGAATCGGCCGATCGAAGACGATATCGAATCGGATCGATCGAAACGAAGTAGGCCTCGACTACGGCCAAACCTGGGACATGATAACATTATTCAAGAACATGAGACCCTCCGCCGCGAAGGTGCCCTCCCCCAGGATGCACAATAACATCCAACAAACACGAAGAACATTCGGGTAACCGAGCTAGTTCTTTAGAACCCCCCGCCCCAATAGTGGAAACTAGTTATCATGTCGACGCCCTTATTGACGGACTGGGGTCCGCCCAATAGTGGGAAAAAATGCTTATCCGCGGCAACCGCCGCGCAACAACGACGACGACGACGACGACGACGACGACGACGACGTTGACGACGACGACGACGGCGTCGACGACGACGACGGCCACGAGGAGGAGGAGGAGGAGGAGGAGGAGGAGGAGGAGCAGGCGGAGCGGGAGGGACCAGTATCATTCCCCGATCCCCGAAGCGACATCGATCTCGTGCCTCGGCCCGACCCTCTGCGAGGCACGGCAGAGAAGGCCTCCAATACAGCGGAGCCGCGCGCGCTCTCCCCGGGCAAGCGCGGGCCGCCGCGGCCCCGGTCGGGCAGCGCAGACGCGCGGCGGAGGGGGCCGAGGCGTCCTCCCCGGGCCGATCCCCATTAGAGGCCTCCCCGATGGGGTCGGAGCGGGTGGGGCTCGCAGGGTCGCGCCGCCTCGCCGATGCATCGGCGGCGTCGGCGATGCAGCGGACACACACACACACAGACACACAGACACACACACACACACACACAGACACACACACACACGCAAACACACAGACACACACACACACAGACACACACACACACACACAGACACACACACAGACACACATCGAACCGCATCGCTGGTGCACAGGCGATGCGGCGCGAGCCTCCGAGCCCCAGCTGCTCGGAGCCCAGCAGGGAGGCCGGACCCCCCACCCCCCCCCCGAAGCAGAAAGCCAGAAAACAGCCTGAGCGACGATCAGGAACGGGTCTCACGCGAGATGGCACAGCGACATTGCGCGGCGGCTTACGCGGGCGGGCAGCGCGGCGCTCCACATTGGAGACGAGGGCGCTTGCGCGAGACCATACGCGGGCAGCTTGCGCGCCAATGTCGGCGCAGACGGCCCCGTCTTTTTCCTCGCTCACTTGACACACGGCCGGACCGCGGCCCACAACAACTCGAGGTCGCTTGTCATCCTGGAAGCAAAAAGCCAGAAAGCAACTTGACACTCGTAGTGTCCAAAGCCCAGATAGCGAGGTGACAGAAGCTTCTGGAAGGTCCTTCGAGGGAGCTCTGGAAGCTTTGGGAAAGCTTGACGGCACACGCATTGGGAAACAGTGAGGCAAGGCATTCCTGGACACGCTGGCTCAAGCAAGCCGCAGAGAGGCGGCTGAAGAGAAACTGGCACGAGCTCTGGGGCTGCTCTACGGTGCCAGCTTCCATGCCGAAACCCTCTTCAGCTCTCGGGGCCGGGCCGAGGTAGAAAGAGCGAGGTCGGCTCGGGGAGGCGTAACCCTCGTGCTCTCCGTGCTCGTGGGATGCCCTTGTGCATCCCAGGGGAAGGCACCCTCGGATGTCCTGTGCCTTGGCTGGCGGAGGCTCTCCTGCTCTTCCAGGATTAGGGGGCCACAGGCGAACCCTACCCCTACCCCCAACGATTCTGAGGGAGAGGGTGGGGTTCACTTCGTTCGGGAGCTCCCAAGCGAAGTGAACCCCACCCTCCCCCTCCGAAATCGTGGCAGGCCCGTGCTGGGCCCAGGATCGGTGTATGCGCCCTCCTGGCTTGGGCAGGAAAGCTTATACAATATATGATGTATACAATACACCAATTCTGTGGCAGGCCTCGAGGTTGACACCAACACCAATACCGGCGTTGTGCCCCCACCGAGGGAAGCAGATCCCGATCTCGGTGATGGTGGTAATATTCCAGCTTCCAAGGCGACCGAAATCTTAACACCAACACCAGAATCTAGGATCATCTTCACCCTGCGGAGGCAGCCCCCTGTGTTGGTGTTGGTGCCCATTTCCAGGCCTCCAATTCTGGGACCAGCATCGGCCCGGCCGGGATCGGAGAGGGTGTCTTGCCGGTGCCCTCCGAGGCCCAGCGCCGACCGGAGAAGCTCGCAAGGACCTCCGAAGGAGTGCGGTCATGAATGGCTTTGCTGCTCTGGGGCCCCCGCTGAGATCGGAGGACGTGAACGATGCACCGAATCGGTCCTGCCAGGCCCGTCCTGAGCCCAGGATCGGTGTGTATGCCCGCCTGGCTCCTCGAGGCCACACGCCTTTCCGTCGACGGCGAGGCAGCGTCTGCCTGCCGCACCAGCGCTATAGAGCCAGACCTGGGGCACCGAGAGGCGAATTCTCCAGAGTGCAGGAGAGGGGAGGAGACGAACAGGGCGGCCGCGGAGGAGGAAGTGGGAGGGGGCACTCAGAGGTGGAAGCATCCCGACCCGAGCGCGCTGGCGCGGCCTCCACCTCAGGGCACACACGCGTCCATCCCGGGCCCAGGATGGGCCCCCGCCGGGCCCCGCGCGAGGCACGGACGGCCCGCGCGCTCCCCGCGGGAGACCGAGGCCCGCGAGGGGGCGGGGCGGCGCCCAGAAGGAGGAGGAGGAGGAGGAGGAGGAGGAGGAGGAGGAGAGAGGAGGAGGAGGAGGAGGGGGAGGAGGGGGGGAGGGGGGGGGGGGAAAGGGCGGCGGCGGAGGAGGCCCCGCTCAGCCGACCATGCTGTCGCCGCCGCCGAAGCCGGCCGCGCCGCCCGCAGCGAAGCCGGGCGCGGCGGCGGCGAAGCCGCCCGGCGCGGCCCCGGGGGCGGCGGCGAAGGGGCTCGCCACCACCGGGGCCCCGGCCGCGGGCGAGGCCGCGAAGGGGCTGGCGGCCGCCCGCGGGCCGGCCTGGCCGGGGGCGCCCCACTGCCAGACCATGAGGTGCAGAGGGCCCAGGAGGGCACACGAGCCAGGGCTCTTCGGGAGGTCCGCGCGGAGTGCCAGGGTGAGAATCGGGCGCGTCCCCCTCCACAGGAGGCCTTTGGACGGAGAGTACAGGAACAGTCGGAGAATAAGCCAACAAAAATGCCCCAAAGTATAAGAGGAACATCGTCACTGGACTATTGTTTGACTGTTTGGGAGGCTGTTGTTTGACCATGTTAGAATACTCCTCCTGGAGGGGGGCACGCCCGACCTGCTGCCAGGGTCGGGCGCGGGCTCCCGCGGCCACGGCGGCGCCTGCGGCACCGCCCTTCCGCGCGCGCGGCGCGCGGAGGCTGGAGGTGCGGGGGCGCGGTCCAGCGCCAGGCCAGGGAAGTCCGCGCGGACCTCGGGAAGGTCCTGCTCGTGCCGCTCCCTGGCTCTCTGATGTCACCGTGGGCCCCGGCAGTGACAAACATGCCGTTGCACTTGGCGTCCAGGATGGCCTTGACGTCCGAATTCTGCTTGCACACCCAGCTGCCCCTGGGTCTGAACTCAGGGAGGTCGTATGCGGTGATGTACCCAGCCTGTTGCCCGCAGAGGAGGAGAGGCTTGTTCGTGACCGGGTGCACCATTATCTCAACAGCTGTATTTGACTGGTGCTCCCCGCGCGACGGGCGGTTGAAAACCTCGTTGCCTGCCGCATCGTAGATCTTACAGTCTCCGTTTCGGAACGTCGCGACCATGTAGCCCTGGCACTCGACGAGCCGCGTGACCTGGCAGGGAAAGGCAGCGTCGAATCTAAACATCGGATCAAATCGGAAGCCGCATCGAATCGGCATGCACCTGTGGGCATCGAATCGAATCGGAATCGGAATGTCCAGGAAATGAACCGAATCGGATCGGGATCAAGCTCGCATCGGCGGAACATCTCCAGCTCCAGCCGACTCGAGATTGCATCATAATGCAAGACGGACGCCTGCCACGCCCTGGGAGCGTGGCACGGATAGAGAGAACGCAGCCCTTGCGCGTCCCCGCCTTCCCTGGTGGAGGGAAAGAGGGAACGAGTCGACTGCAGTCGGACCTAGGCCAGAAGAACATCCTTCACGAACCTGAGACCCTCCGTCGGCCAAAACAAACAGAACATCCAAGGGTACCCTCCCCAGGGTGCACAAGAACACCCAACCAACACGAATAACATTAGGGTGCTCTCCACGAAACGATCTCGATCTCACACCTCGGTCCGACTGCACACGCAAGAACAACCCTCGACAAGAGTAACTCGTGGTGCGCGGCCTCAGGGGGCCGCAGGTAGGCCAAATCCAAGCGCGCAGGCCAGTGCTGGGGGGACCTCTGTGAGTCGGGGACGACACTGGGGGCGAAGAGCCCAGGGGAGAGCAATACATGCCAGGGGCGCCCATAGTCCACACCTTCGGCCAGGCTCCTCCTCCTCCTCCTCCTCCTCCTCCTCCTCCTCCTCCTCCTCCGCCTCCTCCTCCTCCGCCGCTTTCTCCTCCTCCTCCGCCTCCTCCTCCTCCTCCTCCTCCTCCGCCTCCTCCTCCTAATCCTCCGCCGCCGCCTAATCCTCCTCCTCCCTCGTCTACTCCTCCGCCTCCTCCTCCTCCGCCGCATTCCTCGCTCCTCATCCTCCTCCTCCTCCAACGCCTCCTCACTCCTCCTCGTCTCCTCCTCCACCATCATCCTCCTCCTCCTACCTCCGCCTCCTCCTCGGCGTTCTCCTCCTCCTCCTCATCATCCTCCTCCTCCTCCTCCTCCTCCTCTCCACCTCTCCTCTCCTCCTCCTCCTCCTCCTCCGCCTCCTCCTCCTCCTCGCCTCCGCCTCCTCCTCCCGCCGCTTCGTCTTCGTCGAGGAGGAGGAGGAATAATAATAAGAAGAATAATCAGAAGAAAAAGAATAAGAAGAAGAATAATAAGAATCAGAAGAATAAGACGAATAAGAAGAATAATAATACGGAGAAGAAGAAGACGAATAATAAGAATCCTAAGACGAATAAGAAGAATAACAATAATAATAATAAGAATAATAATAAGAAGAATAATAATAAGAAAAAGAAGAATACGAATAATAATAATAATAATACTAAAATAATAATCGAGACATAATAAGCATCAAGATATCATAAACAGTAATCCTACTCATCCTACTAAGAACCCCCCGCCCGCGCCGGCCCCACGGCTCGCGGAGGCGGACCCTGCGCGCGCCGCCTCGCGACTTGAGGGGCCTGTCTTCCACCACCACCACCACCACCACCACCACCACCACCACCACAAGTTGGAGGGGGATGGGGGGCCTCCTCCTCCTCCTCCTCCTCCTCCGCCTCCTCCTCCTCCTCCTCCTCCTCCTTCCCCCCTCCAGCTTGTGGTGGTGGTGGTGGAAAACAAGCCCATCACGACTGGCTAGCCCTGCCAACCCTGACATGGCCGCGCCACAACAAAAAAAATCTGGGCGTCAGCACGGCGGATCCGGAGTCGGGGTTGAGCATCGTCTATCCGACCCCCATCCCCAGCGGCGTGGCCTGGGCCCCACGGGACGATTTACCCCCCTGGATGGTGTTGTAGGCCGTTCCCTTCGGGCTTCGAGGGGTGTATCCCCAACCAGGGGGGTAATTTGGTGGGGGGTCTCGAAGGGGATGGGGATGGGGATGGGGGTCGGTCAAACGATGCTGAGGGGTGCACTCCTCGCACTGGAAGGTCGGGCGCCTGAGGTGGCAGCGCGCGCCCCAGGGTTAGCGGGGAGCGGAGGGGCCGTGCGGTCCCACAGCTGCGGAGGCCACGCTGCCGAGATCGACCAGGAGAGCGCATAGGCGGCAGCCCGCCAGGGGGGCCCGGATAGCACACACACACACACGCACAGACATACACACAGACATACACACACAGCCACACGCATGCACGCACGCACGCACGCACACACCTACACACTTACAAACACACACTTACAAACACACACACACACACACACACGCACGCACGCACGCACGCACGCACACACTTACACACATACAAACGCACACACACACACACACAAACACACACACACACACACACTTACAAACACACACACACACACACACGCACACGCACACGCACACGCAGACATGCACAATTCGCACATTCACGCGCACACGCATTTTTGAGTCAGCGGCGCAAAGGACCCTCAGGCGCGAGCAGCAGATGGAGGTGCTAATTGCAGTCGGGCGTTGTCGAAAGCACAGTGTACAAAACGTGCACACCGTCAGTGCAGCGATGGGTGGTGTGAAGGAGGAGCTGTAAATCCAAGCAAAATGTGCACACTCGCACACACAACACAACACTACACACACACATGCGCACACACACACACACACAACTGCACGCACGCACGCACACGCACACGCACACGCACACGCACACGCACACGCACACGCACACGCACACGCACGACGCACGCACGCCTTTTTGTTCCCCGTCCAAGGAAGTGCCCACAGCCACACAAGAGCACACACGAACAAGGATAAGGATAACGCGGACATCGCCCCCAGAAGTGCCAACAGCCACACAAGAGCACACACGCACAAGGATACTGTAACAAGGACATCGCCCCCGGATATTCAAGCGCATCGAATCATAATCGAATCGGATCGAAATTGAACTGAAATCTAACCGACCTCCACCCGCGCCAAATCTAATCGAGAACGAATCGGATAGGACGTGCTCGCGTCGGATCGAATCCATCGGATCGGAATTGAAACTATTTGACACTGACCTGATGCACCGAGGGGATCGTGCCCCTCGCCTGCAAGGTGTTCAGGTCGAAGCAGGTCAACCCGTTCTGCCCCCCCACCCAGAGGCCGTCGCCGAGCACCTTCAGACAGGCGACTGGGCCTGACGGGTTCTCCAGAGGCTGCCCGTGGCATCTGAAGCGGCGCGTCTGGGGGTCCATGGTCCACAGGCGGACCGTGCCGTCGTGTGAGCCGGAGATCACCACAGAGCTGTGCACCGCGATGGCGCCGACGGATCTCCTGTGGCCGGTGAGCCTGTCCTCCTGCACGGGGTCCTTGCAGAACGCCTGAATCTCCCCGCTCCAGAGGCCGCAGAACAGCCACTTCGAGGCGGGCTCGTAGCAGAGCGACATGATGCTGCTGGCCAGGCTGATCGGCGCCGCGTCGGGCTGCAGCTCAAAGCCCCCCTGCGCAGGCTGGCCGCGCCAGGCGAAGATCTGGTTGTCCCTGCCGCCCGAGTAGATCCTGTCGTCCACCATGGCCATGCAGTTGACGCCGCTTTCGTGGCCCATGGTCACCGGCATGTTGTATAGCCGCTGCAGCTCCGAGCCCCGCCCGAGCACGGGCAGAAGACCACCCAACGGCACATACCCACGCGCTCGGAGGTTCGCGGGGAGTTTTGCTGTCGGCGCTGCGCCCCCCCCCTCCCCCCAAAATACGACCAAGCGATGAAAAACAAACATCGGGCAGGGACGATCCGCCACCGTGCCCCCTGGCACGCCGAGGCGTGTTCGAACGGCAGGTGCTGCTGTGTAGGGCCCATGTGTTCAAGCGAGGGGCTATCATCCCCTTTACTCGCGGAGTTCCGCGTGCACCCCTCCCCCCCCCGAGGCCATGATCCATCGTACAAAAAACGGTGGGTCAACGCTCCCGTTGACACGATCCCATGAGAAAACAGTGGGTCCACGCTCCTGGGCTTCCAAGACGGCCTGGACAGGAATCAAGGCCGTCAAGAAAACCCAAAATGCCTCCAAGATGGCCCCAAGATGGCCTCAAGACGGCCCAATATGCTACAAAACGACTCCCTACTCGGTCCGAAAAAAGACACACTCATTGACTTTCGTTCTGTGTTTGTGAAATGTTCGTATTCTCGCTGTTTGGAGCTTCCATCAGCCCATAACGGCCGAACAAGCCTCCAAGATGCCCCAAGAGGCCACCGAGAGGGTCCCATGACGCCTAATAGGAACCCATGATGGCCCAAGAGGCCTCCAAGGCGGCCCCAAAACGGTCCAAGATTGCATTTTGACAGACCCAAGACTGCCTTAGAAGGCCCTTCGACGGCACAAGATGGCGCCAAAACGGCCCCATGACAGCGCAAGAGAGCCCCAAGACGGCCGAAGAGGGCCGCAAGACGGCCCAAGAGGACCTCAACACGGCCCCGAGGAAACTCCAAGACTGCCCCACAGGAGCTCAATACAGTCCCAAGACGGCCCCAAAAAGCTCCATGAAAGCTCTTCCAAATGAAACATCGGAAACTATTACATGTTACGGCCTTCCTTTTCCTCCTCCTGCTCCTCCTGCTCGTCCTGCTCCTCCTGTTCCTCCTCCTCCTCCTCCTCCTCCTCCTCCTCCTGCTCCCCCGCCTCCCGCACCAGGCGCGATGCAAACCTGGGCGATTTCGGCGTCTTTGTTGTCCAGGGAAGGTAATAAAAATTCGTCAGTGAGGACCCCCATGTTAAGGATCCTGACTAAGGATCCTCGCAGAACAGATGTCATATCACGGGCACATTATTAACAATCCCCTATTCAGGAAGTCTTACTCCGGTTTCCGTACGAAGGATCCATTACGTAAGATTCCTGAAAGGGGACTCCTTGAACCAGGATTCCTTATTGAGGGTTCTTGAATCCGGATTTACGATCAAATACTGTTCAGCAAGGAACTCCGAGTGATGGGAAGCGAAATAGAGGTTCCTTACCAATGATTCCCTCGTCTGGATTCGCCACTGTCGAGGTCTTTACGAAAAGTTCCCACAAAAGGATTCCCTACTACGGGCGCATAACAAACGACCCGGTCGGAACGAAACCTTCCAGAAGTTTCCTAACGAAGGATCCACAACGTAAGATTCCCTACCGAAGACCTCTTTCAACAACGATTCCTTACTAAGGGCTCTTGAAAACGATTTGCAATCGAGAGCCCCTCAGTAAGGATTCGATAGTAAGGGAGTTTTACTGTGGGTTCCTCACCAAGCAAAGATTCCCTAATCTGGTTGGTTTCAAGTTAAGGATTCCTCACTACGGGTGCCTTACTAAGGATCCATTCCATGACCAGGATTCCGCACGAAGAGTCTCATTGCACAGAGTCCTGACGAAGAACTTGTTGTTTCAAGGATTCCTTACTAAGGGGTTTCTTACCACGGAGGTGATCTTAGTATCCTTTGCTAAGGATTCCCTCGCCCGGATCTCGTCGTAAGGATCCCTGACTAAGGATTCCTCACGACGAGTTCTTACTACGGGCCCGTGGGTTACGAATCCTTCGCAAGGATTCTGTAGTTAGGAATCCTTGTTTTGATTCCATAAGAAGGACACCTGGCTACTCCTGAATAAGGAATTATGACTCTGGGTTTCCTTACTAACGATCAGCGTCGGATTCCTGACTAGGGATCAAGGATTCCTGACGAAGGCTCCCCAAAGAAGGGCCCACTGTTCATCATTACGCAGTAAAGGTTCCTAACAAGGAAGCCTTAATCAGGGCTCCCTAATGAGAAGCCATCATACTGAGTCCTTCTTGCGAACTCAGTATTGAAAGGGTCCTTATGCAGGGTTTCTCATCCAAGATTCATTATGAAAAATCCTTATCGGATGATTTCCCATCCAGGGCTCCTTCCTAAAGAGAATCCTTACTAAGGAGGCGCTGCTGACGAACTTTTTCTTTTTATTAAGGATTCCCCCGTCTGAATTCGCTGTTAATAAAGACTCCGTACTATGGATACCGCAATACAAATCCTTCAACACAGGCTCCAAATCAAAAGGTTCCGCAATACGTGTTTACCTGCACCTATTCCTTAGTAGGGACCCCCTCGTAGGGAAACCTTCTTGTTCAGGGTTCCCCACTAAATATTCCTTCGTAAGGTTCACAACCGATTCTCCACTAAGGATTTGTTGCTAAGAATTCATTACCGAGGGCGCCTTACAGCACTAGGGGCTTTCTCGGAGGAGCATTTACAAAGGGCGTCCAAGAAGGATCTCTCATCAAGAACTCTTTGGCCACGATTCCTCACCAAGCAGCCTTGCTAAGGCGGCAGTAGTAAGGAACCTGGATCACGGATCCCGCGGGATCTCGAACCATTCTTGGCTTTAGCAAGGATTCGTCGCGATCCGCCAAGATTACACGGGTTCCCGATGGATTCCGACTGGGCTGGAGGGGGAGGGGGAGGAAAACCATTGAACAATTATCCTCGCCCTCGCCGCCCCCGCGCGGGGACGCCGCGGCGCGCTAGAGGGCCGCCCCGCCCGCGCGGGCGCGCGGCTGCCCCTCGCGCGAACGCCTGCGAGACCCGCCGCGCCGCCCGCAAGTCTCGAGACGGGGCGGCCAGCGAGGCGCGCCAAGGCGGACCTCCCCGGAAGCCAGCGCAGCCCCGGCCACCGAGAAGCAAGCGGTTGCGAGCGCGCGACGAGCCCGCTGCCCCGATCGCGCTACAATGAATCAGCGAAAGGAACACTCGCAGCCCTGGGCCCACCCCCCGCGAGGGCGCGCCCCCCGCCCGCCCGCGGCGAAGGGGGGGGCGGGCGCCACCGCCGCGGGCGGCCGCCCGCAGGTCTGCGGGGGCTCGGGACTGACCACACAACGAACGGCCGCGAAACGTTTCCCGACCCTGCAGCCCCGACCGCGCCGCCGTCGAAAAACAAGGTCGGGCGCTCGATCCCGAAGCCCCCCGCACGAGCCTCCTCCCGCCCGCGGGGGCGCACCCCTCCGCCGAGCAACCCTTCCCCGACCGCGTCGGGATTCGGGGGCGCGCGGACGGGCGGGGGCGCGCCCGCGCCAATCGACGGGGGTTCGGGGCCATCCAGGAAGCGAGCGGGCAGGCGCAAGCGGGGGCCCCGACCAGGGGTCGCGCGAAGATCCAATAATCCCGACCGCACGACGCCCAGAAAGAGGACCGCCAGGGCCCGCGCGGCCCCGCCGAGGCCCGGCCCAGACACCCCCCCTCCAACGAGGCGCGGGGCCCCCCCCCGCCCGCGGCGGAAGGGGGAACGCGCGGACGGGCGGGCGCCGCCGAAAATGGGAGGGCGCCCGCCGGTCGGCGAGGGCTCGGGGCCGCGGGCGCGCCCCCATCTGGCCATGCGCCCAGCGTGGGGAGTTCTCTTCTCGCGGCCGCGCGCGGTCCGCCTGCCCCCGAGCCCGCGGCGACCGCCGCGCCGCGCCGCGTCGGCTGTCTCGCGCCGGCGAGGCCCCCGCCCCGTTGGGGCGGGGGCCCCGCCCCGCCCCGTCGGGGGCCCCGCGCGACCAATCGGCGATTGGTCGCGCGGAGCCCCGCGCTGCGGACGCAAGCGCTTGCGCAGCGCCGCCCGACCCTCGCAGCCAACTAAGGCCGCGGCAAACCGTCGCCACTCGGCGGCCCGCTATCCGCAGCTGCTGGGCGGCCATTCTCTGTGCGCGACGGCGCGCGACAGCGGCGGCCCACCCTGGCCCGCTGTCGACCCTGGGGGCGCCGCCGCCACCGTCGCCGGGGCGCCTCGTCGGGCCCGCCGACCTTCTGATCGAAGCTTGCTGCCGCGCTCGATCGGGCCCTCTGTGGCCGACTTCTGGCGCTTAAGCACGCGTTCCCGCAGCTTTGAAAACTGCCCCGACTTCCCGCCCGCCCCGGCTGTCCGCGGATTGCCTGCGGAGCTCGAGATGTCGAAGAAAGGGGACAGAGAATTGATCTCCCTGTCGCGCTCTGCCTCATTCAACACGGGGCAGTTCTCAGGCGCGAGGGAGGCGCGGAGGTTGGCGGTGCACTTGCCCTGGGAGAAGCGCCCGCCCTCGCAGCGGGAGTGAACTTACAAGTTCCTGAGCATGTCTTCGGCAATCCTCGCCTCCGAGAGCGCGGGCGCGTGCTTGATGAGCCCAGCGCAAACCTCCTCGCTGCTGGGGTCGATGCCGCCCGCGACGGCGCCGGGCCCCCTGTCCAACAGTCCGCCCAGCTCGATGTGCCCCCATCTCGTGGTGTTGATAACGCACGCCAGCTTGGCCATTCTCAGGGCGGTGGGTCAGGGCCCCCCCTGCCCTGGGGCCCCGTGGCCGAAGTAGACCATCTCTGTCTGGTCCTGCGGGCTGTGCTCCTGTCGACTCGATCTCCCTCACCTTCTTGCCACCTTTCGCGACGATGGAGCACGACGGGAAGATGATGACACGGTGCTCCCACGCGTGGGCGCACTGCTCCAGTGTCTTCTGGTGGCGGTGCCCCCCTGGCACGTTTAGCTGCGCCGGCGCCGCCCAATGCACCCACTCCTTCGGCTTGAGGGGTGCCGTCTTGCAACGCCGGCGCGCGTACATGATGTGGTTATCCCCACCGAGGGCGATCCAGACGCTCGTCCTTCAGGTTCGCTTCCTAGATCTCCTTCAATTGAGGGCTCGGTACC